ACTAAATATTTAAGCAAATTTTATTTATTAGAATAGAATAAAACTATTTACAAAATTGTTATAACATTTAAAACACCATCTACTACTTTAGGGATAATCTTAATTTGGCACAATGAGTTAACATTACTTTCACAAAAAATATTTTAAAAATACTTAAAATTAATACATAGGTATGTATGAATAGTTCACTTTAAAAAATATATGTTGATATTCTGTGTAAAATAGACAAGTGAAGTAAATGGTGTTTTTATTTTTATTATGAATTTGACACTAGTTGACTTGACAACAACCAAATACAGCAATGCTTCTAAAAACCACGAAAAAAACACAATAAAACCTAGAAAATCAAACAAGCGAACTTTATTCAAGGCGTTAATACAAAATTGTCGCTAATTAAAAACAAAATGGTACAGAAAATATCGTCGTGTCAACTTTTTCTGTGAAAAACTTCTGCGCAGCATTTCGACGCACTTTTAGTACTAAATTTAGTAGAAAATAGAACAAGTTCTAATTAATTAATTTTTTTATTTAGTAGGTACTAAATTTTCTGTTTGCAACGTGAATTTGTTTAGTACTTTAAAAATGCATTAATTTAGTTCTAAATTTAGTACTTAATTTAGTATTGTGACATACAGCCTTTAGACACACATTTCAGATCACAATAATGTGAAATTTGCGACCGTTGTCTGGGACCAATTAAAAAATTACTTCTATGACATTTATTCGTTTCTTAACCGCTCATTGGCCGTTCACCGACTAAGGCCGATAAAGATAATTATTTCATAAATTTTGAACACGACTATATTTCGAAACTCGCTCTTAGTAACAATTCTAGTTACTTTTCCCTGTGTAAATGCGTCTTTTGAATTCGCTCCTCCTAGTTTAAAAACAGAGTATAGTAGGACTGGAAGGTACATGGAATGGTAATAATTGCAATATTTCAGGTTTATTTATTTTATTAGTAATTATTTTATACAGGAACATTATGGCTGTCAGCCAGCACCTATGTTTTTTTAAAAACAAATAACGGAAAAATTTGTTTTGAATTTTTAAATTTATGATGACGTTGTTGTGTACTTTCCAACCAATTTATTGAACCAGATTCAAGTTTAGGTCTCACCAAGTAGTTTAATTGTATTGATGTCATTAAATGCACGCGTTTATGTCCTAATATACAAGTAACAGATCTAACCATACTTAATATGTGATTTTTGAATGAAAAAGTATTGTTGTACGTACACCTAAATCTTTGACTTCAATTCTCCTCTCTAAAACCTCTTTATCCATATGATATTCAAAATTTGTAAATTCTTTTAGACGAGTTACTGTTAAAATAGAAAATTTTTTACAATAAAAACAATTTATTATCATAACTCTATTCAACTATATTATTAATATCTTTTTGCAAAAAAACACAGTCTCTTACTTTATTTATTTATCATCTGCAAAAATTAGACATCTGAATATTTTAACACCGAATGAAGGTCGTTTATGAACAATAGAAATAAAAGAGGTCCCAAATTATACCTCTGAGGTACTCCAGAATTTGCATGAAATTTTACAAAAGAACTTTCGTTGTTTTTAACAATAAAACATCTGTTTTTTAGATAATTTTTAATCTGCCAAAAGACCAGAGTTAGATATAAAATTTCAAGAAAATGTACTGGTTACTTGGTAGGCATTCCAGCCTATCTAAAGGGTGGTCCATATAGTAGTTTCTTTTTAAAAATTCAAATAAATTAACAAAACTCCATTTTGTTCGGTATATTAATGGTTTATTCGTAAGAGCAAACATTTCTATTATTTATGGAACACGATTTCATTCATGTGGCTGCCTCGGCTAGCTTCGCAGTAGCGCATCCTGTTAACCAATTTTTCAAGACAATGGTGACGTTTTCTGGCTCTATCTCACGAGTGGTTTGCTTGATATTCGCCTTAAAGGCCTGAATTGTTTAATGGATTGTTCGAATGAAATCGATCCTTCACGGCACCCCACAAAAAAAAGTCCTAAAGGCGTCAAATAGTAGCTGAGAGGTGGCCAATTGACATCCCCGAGACGGCTGATGACACGATTGTCGAACTTGGTGTGCAAAAGATCAATTGTGGCATGGGCTATGTGGCATTGCGCTATCCTGCGGAAACCAAAGATTGTCCAAGTTCATGTCTTCAATTTCCGGCTAAATAAAAATCGTTTATCATGTTTCTGTATCGCTCACCGTTGCCCGAAATGGTGTATCCAGCAGAATTTTTAAAGAAAAAAGGACAAAATCCGCAGTAAACTGTCACTCTCTGAGGATGCTTTGGCTTCTCTACGATCACGTACAGGTTTTCCGATCCCCAGATTGGACAGTTTTGCTCTAGCAAAGCCGCCGAGATGAAAATGCGCCTCGTTAGAAAAGATGATTTTTTTAAGCAAACTACAATTCGAGTTAGTTAAGCCCAAATTGAGAAGCGATAACGTTTTGGATGGTCTTGTACCTTCAATTGGAAAGGTCCGCGGAGATATTATATTGTTTTGTCTAAGATTTCGAGCAGGAAAAAGCTTCCATTGTCAAAAGAGTATATGATTAAAAAAAACATAAAATGGACCACCCACTACATATAACAAAATTCTGTTATATAAACAAGTTTGGACCTATGGCATTCAGCTCTGGGGTTGTGCCAGTTACAGTAATATTCTAATAATCCAGAGATTCCAGAACAAAGTATTGAGGAACATTGTCGATGCTCATTGGTATATTAGAAACAGCGACCTTCATCGAGACCTTCAGATGGACACTATTATCCAGACTACAGATGGACACTGTTAACCAGATTCGCTAGGAGTCACGAACAACGGCTCTGCCAATATATGAACGTTGAGGCGTTCCAGCTTCTTGACAACACAAACCTGACAAGAAGACTCAAGAGATTAAAACTTTTTGAGTTAGCCAAGTGGTTGTGTATATAACAAAGCATGGCATTGTGCGGTTTAATGTTACACGTTAGTTTAGTGTAATTAAGTTATGAGACCCTAAATTATTGTAATATCAATAAACGTCCCTTATGGTGTTTTTTTTCACAAGAGAAAAAGGTTTATCTGATCAAAGGCTTTGCAAAAGTCTGTAAACACTGTATCTAGTTGATATTTGTTTGGTAAAGTATCAAAAGTATTATTACTGTAAATAAATATATTAGTGTTGATAGACTTTTAGGCCATAAACCCAAGGAAAGCCCCCAATGTATCTACTGTGGAGAAATGGATACCGTTAATGTAGTAGGTGGCAAGAGATCAAAAATGCATAAGCTAGGAAAAAATATCTGCAAACAATGTAATTGAGATAATGTTGGAAAGTAGCAAAAAATGGAAGAGGTGGCAAATATTAAGTATTAAAGAAAAAGACGAGCGACGATTAGGGACAGGAGAAGCAATCGAAATAATATAAATGCATGGAAAATATGTGAAGTAACCCTTATCTGAAGTAATGCTAATGGCAGTACCAGATAAGATGTTAGGAAAACTTGGAGATGTTTTAGTGAGTATACAGTGCCTGCACCTACCGCACTGGAGTCTCACACTACCTTGTCGCAATAGATCTAAGCGCTTGGTGACCGTAAGGGATTTCATCTCTACCGAAAAAAAAAACATGTTGTTGAGGGACTATGTGCTTGTTAGTGAATTGATATAATTTAGAATAGATAATTTGCTCCAATAACTAGGATATGATGCACATAATTAAAATTCCTTCATAATTTTCCAATTCTATTTTGCACCCCGTTTTAAATTTGATATGGGGATAGAGGTATCTCAAAATTCTGGAAAAAAACATTGAACCTAATGTCATTCAAAATATACAATAATGGTGCCGTTTACCACTCATAGCACCCCTTTAATACATACGGAGAAATGACGTCAATACCTACTATTTTTTTGGGTTTGAGTATTTTAACAGCTTCGATATAATCAATTTCGTTAATGCAATTTATTTAGAATACTTATAGTCAAATTTGAATTACTGTTCTTAAAATCTAGATTTTACACCACTTTTTCTTGACAATAAGAAGAATTTTTCAAATGTATCAGCATTTTCTGATCTGGTACATTATCTCCATTATATGGAAGATTACCTATACTTGTTTTAATTTTTTTCTGATATATACATTATTCCAAAATTGGTTAACGTCAGCAGTGTCATTTTTTCTAGGTTCTTTAGGTATTAGCGCTTTTCCTTTCTAATTAGCTTTTGCACTTCTCTTCTTAATGCTCTATATTTTTCATTGTAAACTTCTGAAAAGCTCTTAATTTTTCGATAGAAATGAGAGTTGGTTTTGTCCAACCAAGCTCCTTATTAAGAGGTAATGTGGCAAAGAAATCAGAATAGTATCTTGATAGTACCAGGTCTCCTAACAACTCACGGACATCAAGTTATAGAAATAATTTTCTAAAACCGACACCAAAATCTTCCAGATGAAATTACAAATTGAATTTGTAGATTTTCTCAGATCCTGACCAAATATATGTGGGATCACCCCTGAGGTACTTCCTTTCTAACAATAGAAGATTCATATAAATCGGACAACGTGGTAAAGAATTATCACTAAACATACTTAAAAAATTAATACTTTGATGATTTTCTCATGGACCCCATTATTAGAGCATGACCAAATGTATAAGGGAATACCCCTGAGGTGCCCCTTTCCTTACAAAAAAAAACATAAAAATCGGACAACGTGATAAAGAAAAATATTCCGACGAATGAGAACCTTCTTCTTTTTTTTAAGTCGGTTAAAAAGGCATTAAGCTCCACTCTCCACTGAAAGGAATCAACTAAGCGTCAAATCTAATAAAGGCGTTATATTACGAGTATACTTTCTCTGTTGAGTACAGAAGACAAAAAAAATGTATTTGACTTGACTGGTGCATTGCGATATTCTAAGCCCCAACTGTTTGTGATAAAGGTTAAAAGTCTGCATCTAACCTACATTAAAAACCATACTTTATTTTAGTTCTAGATACTTACTGGAGAAGTAATTATAATATGTTTTTGGGGAGCGATGTTCTCACACAAGTTCTGAGATCCAATCCAATACATATTTCCCCAAAACCAACCCGTTGAATATCTGCCGCTAGCATCATCCACTGAAACAAAAATTTATTATTAAACACTTATCGACAGTACAGTATATTAAAATTTATAGAAACACAAAACATACTTGGAAAACCTAATATTAGACCAGGGACCTATTTCATAAAACTACTTTGCAACTTTTCACTTTGCACTTTGCAAATTTACGAGTGCAAAATACTTGTGTTTCATACAATAATAACGTTATCTTTGCAGAATATTAATTTTTCATTTTTACTTTTCAAATTGCTTTTCAGATTTTACTTTTTTACTTTCAAATTTCTATTTTCTTTAACATATATTTACTAAAATATGCAAAGTGCAAAGTGAAAAGTTGCAAAGTAGTTTTATGAAATATGCCCCAGGTTATATGAGTATCATGAGTGAGACGGAGTTACTAGACATAAGAAAAAAATGATTATATACTAATTAATTAACTAAGCGGTACTCCTTCACCACTCCGTTCAAGGACGTCACACCAAATAGAACGAAGTTCACTATAAAGGAACCCAATGCCCAACGAATACAAACATATCTAAAACTGCGAGACATTGGAATAGGAATATTTTTTAAACTCCAGTTGCCAGCCTTTAATACATAATAGAAAAACATACTTCGATATTCCTGTAAATCAGGATTATTGCACATAAAACAACAATATGAAAATCAATAGATTCACACGTCTTGACATTCATACCACCATGAAAATGGTGCCATGATCAACAGTCGAAAACAAAAAGAGATTCAAAATTAAAGTAAACTTTATATTTTAGCATTTGAAAAACTGGAAGTTTTCATAAAATTAGGTTCTATTATATTGCTTATATGTCAAATAAATAAACAAATAGGGGTCTATTCTGTAAAAATTCCTTTATATTTAACGGCCTTTAAAAATATTGTCGGCCTTTAAACATATGTTCGTATTCGTTAATTTACTTCTGTCATTATTTAAACAGATTTCTTTAAGATAGTGCTCTAATGTATTTTAAAGATCCGTTTAAATAATGACAGAAGTAAAGAAGAAAATATTTTTAAAGGCCGTTAAATATAAAGGAATTGTTACAGAATAGACCCCATAATAGGTTTAATTGTAATATTTATGAAAGGTGCTTACTTAACCAACAAAAATGTTGATATTAAGATGTAGGATAGATACAAATATGTTATAGGTATAAAGAGAAGTAGGTATGCTTATATGTGAAACAGTAATTTATGTCAAAACTAATCAAAAGAAAATCTATTCTAATTACGAAACAAAGGAAAGTTTTGATGATAGTAAAAACCGACATTAATCAAATAGCTCTAAAAAATTATGAGAGAATAAGATTTTATTCAAACCGTAATTATAGTATAGATATCTGCCAGTAACTAATAGTTGTTATGAGTTTTCATTTTCCTTTGTTTGAAGCGTTGAGAAATACGATCTTTCTCTAGCAAAAAAATAAATTCTACAATTTAGTAGTAAAAGTATTACAAAACCAATAGATTTTATGATTTGATTAAACGCAAATTCACACGAATATAAGTACGTATACATATAACATAATTAGAAAAGAGATTGATTATTATCAATCTTCTTTCAATCATTGATCTAAAATCTAAACTGAAGGTTAAAGGTATGATTTAAATATAAATTGTCACTTATATAACTAGTTTATATCGATGATATTGATAACAATTGATAAAAAGAAAGGAGTATTTTGTAAGAATATGAAAAAAGAAAATTGACAAAATAAAAATAAAATAAAGGAAATAAGAATTTGATATAATAGAAGACGTTAGATAGAGAACAGCGAGAAATAAATGTTGAACTTGACAAAATCACAAGAAAGAAAAATAGCAATAATGAAGTATTTGAAAAAAATAAAATTGAGGAAGAGATACAACTTAAAATATAGAATTAGAGTAAGAAATGCTTGTCTGGTAGGGCCATATTTTTAGGAAAAGGTAACACCAAGCGCGCAGCTAGGTTGTTTTCTTGGGGAGGGGGGGGGTAACACTTTTCACATTATTGGTGAATGCGCAGCGTGTTATCTTAGAATATGGTACCAATGCAACGTCTAGAGTTCATATGTGTATTTCCAGAAAAAAGTGAGTTTTATAATGAAGTTTTTAATTTTTTATATATTTATACAGGGTGTTTCAGAATAAAATACCGTAATTTTGGGGATTTGTAGATCTTAATCAATTATAAAGAAAAGCTAAATATAATTTTCCTATAAACGTTCCAGTTTTCATTCTACAGGGTGATAAAGTGAATTTCATAAATACATATTTTCTAAATATCTTCCCTTACAGTAAAGATTTAAAAATATGTATATGATAGGTAATCGTTATTATTAGTTAACACACTTTTTCGATAAAATACCATAACCCATTGACGTAGAATGAAGGGCTAAAGAAGCAATTTTATTCAAAACTTTTTGAACACCCTACATTTCATGAAACTTTGGTTAATCTTTGTAGACTTCCATTTCCGAGGTGCTAAAACTGATTTATTTTTACAGTGTTTTGAAACATGTCTTACATATGGCTAATTTTAAGTTCAATTTACTTAATTTTGTCAAATGCAACATACTGTATATTATTTTCGCATAAAATTCCTTATAAATTTACCTATCCAACGATACCAACATGTTCCAATAGTGCGTAATTGATCAATAGCTGTTTTATTATTGGAAATAGGAAAAACAAATTAACATAAAAGTTGTATGACCATGTTTTATAAATATTCTTAAATATACAGGGTGGTCCATAAACGAGGGGCTGACCAAACTTATACATTTTTATATTTGTTTTCACATCATCAAACAACTTTAATAGACTTCATTTATTTGCTATGTTGTATATAGGGTATTTCAAAATGAGGGGTAGCGATTTTCTCATTTTTTAAATGGAATACCCTATATGTCATACCACCAATTAATACATGGTATTCCATTCAAAAAATTGAGAAATTCGTAACCTCACATTTTGACACACCCTATATACAACATACCAAATCAATGAAGTCAATTAAAATTGTTTGACGATGTAAAACCAATCAAATATGTATTATTACCTGCAGGATGTTTTGCTTTAAAAAAGTATAGATTTGGTCAGCACTCGTTTATGGACCACCCTGTATATTTAAGAATATTTGTTAAATATGGTCATACAACTTTTATAATAAACATTTCTTCTTATTACTAATAATAAAACAGCTATCGATCAATTATGCACTGATGGGACACCCTGTATATGTGTTATTGACTAACACATTGGTATTGTTACATAACATAGGCAGGTTTATAGGGAATTTTATGCCAAGATAATTTACAGTGTGTTGCGTTTGAAAAAATTGAGTAAATTGAACTTAAAATTAGCCATATTTTAGACATGTTTCAAAACACTCTGTATAGAATAAACCAGTTGTATCACCTCTATTCGTTAGCTTAGTATTTTATAAGTCTATATAATAAACGATTTTGAAATTAATGTAAACCTACATAAAGTATGATAATTTAATTTGGGGTTTGCATAATTCTCTAATTTAAAAAAAAATAAAATGTTTGGTAACATTGTAATATTTTTTAAAAACATTCTAGGGTTAAATACAGTATTCCCAAGCCATTCTAAAAATAAAAAAGTGAGTTTTAGTAATTAACCATAGACTAAACAAACAAACGTACACACAAGGACAACCCTGTTTTTTTCTAGCTTTTTCAGGGGACAAAACCATAACTAAAACGCGACATATCCTTGTAACAATTTCCCATTTCCGATCCCAAAACATCCAAATCCCTCAATAATACCGTGAGGATAAGGAGTGAGGGCTGCAATATTTAACAAACTAAAAGTCAAGAAAGGGTTTTATAGGTGGAAACTTCCCCATGGTCCATAGGACCCCCACGAAAGGACGAAGACCCGGTAGTGTCGAATTATAATTCACTTTATTGACATGTAGATATTTTAAAACTTTAAATCAAAACTCTTCTAGAATAAAGAAAAAAATAAAATATAGGGTGTTCTATTTAAAAAACATACATTATTATTTGTCAGGCAAAAACGCAACACCCTGTATATCCAAAAATATTTTTAAAATATGATATGTATTTTTCAAATCCATATAACTTTTTTGCTTGTCAATAACACAAATTGAAATATTGAACAATTACGAAATGGGACCCTGTATATAAATTTTAATTTTCAATATGAAGCAATATTATTATTTTAGATGATAATGTTTGAGAAACTCTTTGTTTTATTGTATTTTGTTTGATATAATGTTTAAAAAAATATTGATGTTGACTGTAGCTTCGGGGGGGGGGGGGGGGTAATTACACCCCCCCCTTATCTACGCCCTTGGGTAGCACGATAATAAAAAAGAGTGATTAGTACAAAATATAAAAAGACTGATAGAAAAGAGGAGATGAGAGCTTGAAATACAAGGACAATGCAGCCAACCTAACAAAATAAAATTGACTCTAATGACATAAGAAATCGATTCATATATAAAGAGACTGTTTTTTCGTTTAATTTCTGGTTTTTCTTATATACTTTTATGCTGTTTACATACCATATTGTACCCTTACCGTAAAAAAGACTTTTAGTTTAGAGTTTTTACGTTTACAGGTTAATAAAATTGTCAGTAAGAGCTGTCATCAATGTCTTGTCATAAGCGTTTTATTATTTTATTTTTATTAGTTTACTTGGGTCTGTATTATGTTTCTTTCGCTTTGTTTAAACATTTCTTTTGATTTTGTTTTATCTATTTATGTTAAATACAAAATTCTGCTATACGTACAAGTACAATTTATTAGCACATACAACACTAGTTACGTTATGTCCATCTATGGATACGCCTATCATACCTTTAACATTATTGACAGCTGACATTGACAAAGTTTTTCAATCTTTTTGTATAAAACGCGTAGCGTAGCGCGGCAATCTGTCGAAGGCGGCAACGAACTTTTCGCTCAGAATGCACACAAGATTTTTTCTACGATCACATTATTTTAAGAAATAGATATAA